TAGCTTTTGGTAAATCTACTCGATCTTTGATAGCATGTAGTGCTTAGATAATAGGAAAATACCACTATCAATATTTTTGTTTGAAGGCAAGGCTGAGAGATGGTAGATTGGACAGGAAAGAGTGAATTTCTAGGGTAGATTAAACTCATTAATTATGTGGGAGGGGTTCATTGTTATTTTTTGAAATTAGTTCTTACCTCCATCAACTCCACTTAAAATGCATATGGTTTTTATGAGACTAGAGCATGGAAACAATAAGAGGTTGAGTTTACTGCATGAGTCAAATATGCATCTCAACTAGTCATTACTATTAAGGAGAAATGTTATAAATTTTTTAGAGAATTAAAGGATGAGTTAATGCATCCACTTGTACTACTAAGGATTCAGGGATTCTCGGAGTTAATTGAGAGAGCATGACATATAGAAAATAATTTGGCTATTCCCCAGTTTAGATAGGATATGAGCAAGATGACAACAGGAAAAGATGTGATTGGAGGATAAAGTAGTGAAAAAGATAAATAAATGCATTGATGTCAATAAATGACCTATGGTACTAGCAATTAGTGTATAAAAGTGTCTGAGATGTGGGAGGAGATATGAAAGACAATGTTATATGATTATAGGACAATGCTTCAAATGTGATCAGTACATCCATAGGATGATGGATTTCCCATAGAGGGAATATGTAGAAATATCTGGATCCATGATAGATTAGTCGAGGCAGACATATGGAAAGAAGGTTGCAGGGACCACGATGTGGGACAAATGAAAGGAATCTAAGTGACAGAGGCAAGCCACACCATCAATGATGATAACACCTCTAATACAATTCAGAGTGTATAGCTTAAGTCAGCAGGAAGTGAGAGATGCACTTCAGAGGTCCATTAGTATAAGTTCTCTTTTGAATATTATTATTTTTTATTGAAATATATTGAAATTGATTAATTAATATGCTATCTGATTTATTGATTGACATGCATACACGTGTGAATGAATGATTGTGTGATATGATTGATGATTGAGGTGAATAGTGATCAATAAGTCTGTCTGTCTATAAAGGGTTCATAGTTGAAAATATTAAGGATGATATTTTTTAAGGTAGGTAAATCATAATAACCCCAATTTAAATTCCCTGATTTTTTAGAAATTTTTGTGTACTAGTTTTGTGGCACTAAGGTAGGTGCTGCCTCAATGCTGAGCTCTTCAGAATTTCGAGAATTAATTGGGTGCAACGACGCTGAGATTTGTGTGCTATGATGCTAGGTTTAAAACTTCATTTTCTTATTATAGAATATCTCAATTCATTAACTCCCTCCCTCTCACTACATGAATGGTTGATTAAGAGAAAGAAGAGGAGGAGAGAAGGGGAGAGAGAAAAGAGACAAAAAAGCTACTTTGAATCATTTATGTCCATCACTCTAATAAGATAAAATCTTTTAATCGTGGTGGGTTACCCGAATCTGACTTTTGTTTTCAATGATCTATATTTCTTAGATTTTATGTCTCCTAAAAGTGATTAAAACACAATATCTCATTTAAATAAAATTTTATAGTGTAATTTTTTGTAAGTGATAAACACCTTTCTCTTGAGAATTTTGACTAATTATATGATAATTTTACTGGGTGATTTTAACCATATGTCATTTTAACTGAACTAAGTAATATAATTTAATTTATAAAATAATTATGAAGTAATATACTGCATTTAGACATGGAATGCATGATATGCACATATTTATTATTCATTTAGGTCAATATGCATTTTTGACTTGCTACAAGCATATTGATGATTATATTGATTGATTACTTCATTAAGTGTATCTGATTATTGTTATTATTCTTCATATGATGTGATATGTGTAATAGAGGGCAAGAAATATTGACTAGAAATTGTTGACTGATTCAGATTGGTCGGAGATATATTATCGTGTACAGGAGGGTGAGCCGACGAACTTTCCTTTAAATAAGATTTGTGTGTAATCTTAAATAATTTAAAAAGTGATGCATAAGAAGATTAAATTGATATAATATGATACGTCGACGGGTAAAAATGACGACTTCTTATATGAAAGCTACCTGACTTACTTGTGATATATGATTTGAGATCAATTCCTTTAAATAAGACTAATATGATTGAGACTAATTCCTATAGGGATGGCCTACAGGATTGGATACAGGAAAAATATCACAGGTAGCTATGTGTCATATCTTTATTATATTACTTGCATTGATTAATTGCTTGCATGTGCATATGGTAGGAGCATATATGATATATTGCACATATGACATACCATAACATGATTTATGCATGATATAAGATATTACTGATACATGTACGTGATATCATTGATAAGACTGATATAGTGATATATATATATATATATATATGAATCACATGCTATAAATTATATAATATAGTACATTGGCATTGTATAGACTTCATTGGATATGATATAAATTATAGGTGTAGAAATAATAGAACCTATTGATTCTTTATTTGGTTACTAATCACTGCTCACAAAATATACAATTATACATATTATTATTGCTCATTTGATTTGATGCTGTTCAAATTGATTGCTACATACTTTTATAGTTGTATGTCCATAATAATATTGACTAAATGATTACAAGCATATTATTTTTATTGTCTTGCATTGATTTCAATGTCAGGTTCTGATAACCTACCGAGCTTCTGAAGTTTTACTTATTTTTTAAGAAAGGAATAGGATCAAGTAGAGAAAGATAGATCGAGATTCAGATTTTTTTTGTTTATATATTTGTTTTATTCTTTTGCAATTAGGAGTTGAAAGAGGCAAGTGTACGTATTGATTGAACTCTTGGCTAGTGTATATGAATATAATTTTATATTTTATATATATATGATTATTAATTGCTTTCACTGGACTCATTTATACTAATGGATTATTATTAACTCTGATAAATTAGTTAAGATATCAAAATAGACAATTCTTCTAAATTTGATATTCATTCATGAGAGCTAATGTGTTGGATTAATTGTGATTTAAATCAAATAGGCGACTCTTTAGCTTTTATGGATTAAATGTACAATTCCTTCTTAGAGGCATATATAAGTTATTTATTTTCACCTTTAATGGTTGGCTATATTTTGTGAGTTGTGTCTTATATAGTCATAGCATTTTACATGATCATTTTGATATGATGTGACAATAATCCTTATCATTTTGTTAATTGCATAAATTCCTATAAAATTTATGTATTTCTCTTTGATTGTTGCAATCATCTCAAAAAAATCCGGAGTCTCATCCTAATTATTTTTTAAATAAGTGTATTTCAATATAATATTTTTCATTAAAAAAAAAATCTTGTACATCAATATCTTAAAAATTTCCCCAAATCTTAAATATTAACGACGTTGCCAACAAAACAAAATAAAAAAGAAAATTATAACATTTGGCCTTGGAATTATCACATGCTCCAAATTTCTCAACGTTGTGCTAATGGCGGTGGCCAAATTTCAACATCAACATCAACATCAACATCAACATTAATATTTTAGCATCAAATAAAGTGAAACTAACAACCCATTTGTATGATGATGCATGTGTTCTTCGTCGGGGCTCATCCTTACATGCTTGGATGAAGTTTTAGGTTTCGTTTGAGACAACTTTCTGATTATTTTCTAAAGAAATTTTCTTGTTCAAAATTTTTTAATAGTAGTAGTTTCGTATTAAAAACTTATTTTAAAAAATAATAAAAAAATTGTTCCAAATGAAGTCTTGATTTGTATTGGAATAAGTATTTAAAATTTGAGAAAAAAATAAATTATTATGATTTCATTTTGAACAACTTTCTTACTGCTTTTTAAAATAATGGAAAGTATCGCTCGTGTAGAATACTCCAGTTGATGGGATTTGAACTGAAATTGTTGCCAATTGAATTACCAACCCTAGACTGGTTCAATCAGCAATTAAGTTAAATTGTAGTGGTTAAGTGTAATGCCAAGTCAAATTAGCCTAGCTAAAGTCCAACCGGAGTTAAGGCTAACTGGCAAATTAGCTAAATTGCAAAAAAACAGGCTCAATTGGTCCAGGACATGCGTTTGGGCTAAGGCCTGTAGGCCCAATTGGACAAATTTAGGCTTCACCCGTCAAATTGACGGGCCATGAGGCTGGGGACGCTGTCCCTTCACCATTTAGACACAGCTAAGGCCATCAGATATGAATTAGCTTAGCCAATTAGCAGATTTTGAGTACATTAGGCTCAAACCGCCAGAGTGAAGTGGCAGAGCCAAAAACAATTTTCTGTGAGAAGCCAAATTGGCTATTTCAAATAATCCCTTTGACTTTTTTCATCTGATTTTGGAGCCTGTATTTCTTTTTTTTCTTTTTTTTTGAAAACCATTAATATATTAATACTAAAACACAGCAAAGGTTACAACATGAAAGTAAAAGAAAGAAAAAATAAAAATGGAAAAATACAGCCAAAAGGCTGGCTCAGTAATTGGCTAGGACTACCAGCACCCCTGAAGACAAACACGGACCATCCAGTTAGGTGGGAGAACACCAAAGGTTGCCACAAGCTGAACCACAGGGACGCGAGCCCCAACCACATCATAGCCCTTTTCTCGTCGCAAACATTCAATCAAACAGATTAAAAGCAACAGAAACCCGAAAAAAGAGGCCAGGACAAAACAACCAAAAACGAACCATTAGCGTCTACGACGCCCTCTCCCACGAAATTGCCCCCTAGATGCAGCAGTTATACTAGGTATAGTGCGAACCAAAGTGAAATCGTTGCCAGGGTCCGAACCCCCACAAAATTCCGGAGATGCCAAATCACCTTCAGAAAATTCAGATTCTGATTCATACTCCGACGATCCGTTCAACTAATTAATATGGTTCCTAATGTCCAAACCAGATGAATCGCCCAATAGATTAACCAAAGCATGCGAATCCATCAAATTAATAGGAACCTCAAAAAAATTATTACTAACTGGATTACCCTCAACTCTCGCATCAGACGAAGGAGCCATAATAGTCGACGGTAAAGCAGGAGGAAAAAAAAGGAAGGGCATTTGGTGAGAGACCAACTGTAACAACATCAGAAACAATGTCGCCATCCCCTAACCCAACAGATTCCTCCACAACAATTACATTCTCCAACCCGCCATCAACGACAGGTAATTGAGCAAGTTCGGGTTCAGAAACAACAGGAGAATTCACAACACCACCCATACCCAGTACCTGAGCAAGTTCGGATCCAGGAACATCATCACCACCAGCCAAAATAACAGGGGAAAAACCAGCCGCAGGCTCAACAAAAACAGTCTCAGAATTTGCAGCAACATTGCCCAAAATTTCCGTCATAGAAGAGGCAACACCCTTATCGACATTAACAGTACAAATAAGAGATAGAATATCAACCGGAGTAGACGAAACATTAGGATTCCCAGAAGCAATATCAGGACGACACTTACCCGATACATGCCCTAAGCATTTACAAACAGCACAAAATTGTGGAAAAACATCTAACACCACCTCCTGAACATAACCTAATGAATCAGAACCTAACCAAACTTGCTTAGGGTAAGTTTTAGTAACGTCAAGTTCGACTAAAACACGAGCATTCGACGGACGAGAGCCAACCGACGTAGCTTCATCGATTTTCAGAGGTTTTCCAAATAATTCACCAAGACCAAACAGAATCCTCGGTGAGAAAAAATGGGGACGAAGATGCGGAAAGGAGATCCAAATCGGGATGATCGGCGACTCAATGCCGATGTCCAAACTAGGTGACCATTTAGTAAGTTTAATAAAACAATTGAAAACAAGATAAGAACGGTAACAAAACACCCTACAATAGTCTAAATCATTTGCCAGTTTGATCAAAATGTGAGAATGATCCAGGACCGTAACAGACACTTCTCCGTTCAACTTCAAATTAAAAAAGGCCTTTGCTAGATGTAGCAAATATACATCATATAGAGTACATTACATGGCGAGAGTTGGAAAAATCAGTGTATATATGTTCGTTTGGTCGGGAAGATCATAGTCGGTGAGTGATGTATGTCGGAAGGACTGTAGTGGGGCGACGATGGTCGAAAGGATCGTAGTCGGGCAACGGGGGTCGGAAAGACTGCAGTTGGCGGACAACGGAGGTCGAAAAATTTGGCACCATCATCTAGAGGTCCTAAATTGTCCCAAACTTATGCAGGTATTCATGCTTCTATTGCTAAATGCAATTAACATTTTTTTTTATCTTTGATGAGTTTTTAATGCAATGCATATTGGTTATATGCAAAATTCGTATGATTTAAATTATATATATAAAAAAAAAACTTAAAAATAGTTTTCTTACTAGACATTTGTTAGAGGTTTACCCTGGTGTATGCTTTTTGATGATGATATTCTTCTTGTTGATAAGACTAGAAAGGGAGTTGAAGGTAAACTTAAATTATAGAGGACAACCTTAGAGTTTAAAGGCTTTCATTTTTATTTGAGTAGATCTAAAACTGAATATATGGAGTATAATTTTAGTAATAATAGATCTAGTGTGGAGATTGTGAATTTGGGCAATCAAATCATTAATAAGAGTACACTTTTTAGATATCTTGGATTTATTATTCAAAGTGATAGTGAAATATATGGGGATATTATTAATAAAATTCAAGTTGGATGGTTGAAGTGGAGGAATGCAACGGGCTTGTTGTGTAATAGAAATGTCCCTCTAAATCTTAAGGGAAAATTCTAGGATTGAGTGTGTGCTAGATTGTGCTAGTGGTCAATCAGAGATTCCTTATTAATTGAAATCGCAAACTAATAATAGGGTTGACCAATGCCAATCAAAGATTCCTTATTAACAACCGTAGGTTATCTCATTCAAGGGGACCTCGCAGATTAAGGGTGTGAATCTAGTCTCAGGTTGATGGATGAGAATTACACTCCACTATCGTATGAGGGAAAACCCATGCTGAACTTATAGTATCGTGTGATGGTACCTACCAAGGCTTATAAGGCCACTTAAGCCCTAGGGCTGGCGAACAATAAAGAATGTATAATCTCTATATGGTGGAGGCAACATAAAAAATGGGACTTATAACTCAATCATGTGTGATTGAGAATGCCCGAAAAATATAAACACCTCCTCAATATGGTAGAGGAGACGTGTCACATCCCGAGATCTAAAGTGAAAGAATTTCATCTCTTTTTCTCTTTCTTCATTTACTATTCTTCTTTTCTTACAATTTAATTAACAACAATACTCTTTTACAAGCAGATTATTGGTAATAAGAGCTAACAATTTACATTCAAAAAATATAAACCGCGATAAACATAATTTCCATTTTTGTAGCTAATATTTATATTTGTTTCAAAATCTCAAATCCAAAAGGATATTTATAAACATAATTTCCATTTTCGTAGCTAATATTTGTCTAGCCTCATGCATTTAATCTAAGGCAAAAGTCAATATGACTTCTACAATTCTGGTCAATATCAATCAACAATCAATAGTCTATTAGTATAAGTAAACAAACTATAAAATTTATATCAATGAATAGTTCAATTAATATGATCAATAAAGCCAAAATAAATCTATCAAATTATTAAAAAAAGACTATCAATTAATGGGCAATATAAGTATAGCATGTTATGTTGTATCAATATTAAGGCATGTTCCATTATAACAAACTACGATGAGCTACACACAATGATATATATTTCAACAATAGATTCTTATCAAATGACACTTGACTTGAGAATTTGAGATGGTTGGCATCTAAATCTTAATAAATTTGTTCAATATTAGTTATCATCAAAATAAACATTAATATTATTTATAAATTTATCATTTAAATATATATTATCAAAATATACAATTACGCTTATAAAGTTCTTACAAATGGAAAAAGGATTCCTTAGGCCAAGTGGAGCTGCTCAATGAGCCAGAAGTTTTCTAATAGCATTCATCCCAATAAAATATTTGTTCAAATGAGACAAAACCGCACCATTATACTGAAAAACTTAGTTTGTTGACTATTTTCATAAAATTATTATAATCTGTCATATTAAAAGTTAAAACAATAGCAAATAAATAAATTAATGAAATTGTTTGTCCAATTAAATTTATCTGGAGGTTGTCATCTTATTACTAATTTATTTAATCAAATTTCATTTTATTTTATTTTAATTGAGATTAGATTTAATTATTTTTCTCAAATATTTTATTTGAATTTATTTTTTTTAAGAATTTGATATATTTAAATTTAAATCCAAGTTCATTTTGGCTTATCATATAAATCTTATTTCTCGACATTACTCACTAGAAGCTCTCTCATAATATCTATTTTTTTTTTTTCATCTAATATTAAAAAAAGGCCCAAAATTTATTTTATCTCTCTTAAATATCTCTTCATGACATGCAGATTATGACTTTGTTTGAGAGGACTTTTTTAATGCTTTTTAAAGCAGCTTCTGAATACATAAATTTATTGAATTAAAAATTTTTATACTAAAAAATTGCTTTACAAAGCATTAAGAAAGCCGCCCCAAACGAAGCCCATATCACTACAATCATGAGCCAGCTATGATTTATCAAATTTGATTTTGAGAAACATCAATTCTGTCAAAGCTACTGAAAAATACATGACAATAAAAATAATAAATAACATTATCTTGATAATATATTTAAATTCTGACCATATGGACTAAATTAGGATAATAAAATTTAATTTTCTTATTAAGTCTCTGTTAAAAAAAAGAAAGAAAACTATATATGGGACCTTCTGTAAGCCGAAGCAGCAGGCAAGCAGTCATGGATTGCAGTACTACTACATAAAACATCTCACATGTCTTTCTAAGCTCGACTAGACAAAGCGACAGAGGAAAGGCACTTGCATGGCCTAACAGTTGATGCTCCCTACTGAATGATCTATTTGCTTGTTTTATTCCATTTAATTTTCTGTGCAGAATAAGCTCAGGTCATTGTTATCTGCTTTTGGACAGCCAATGAAACTTCATACAGAACATGTAATGTTTCCAACGTTACAAAATGAAAGAGAGGATTTTGCTCTGAACATTGAGGAAGAAGTGAGAAAGATATAATAGTCTTAAGGTATAAGACTTAAGAGTCATAAGACTGTTGATAGGGTAGATTAGTAGCTATCATATCTCTTATGATTTATGATAGATGATTAAGGCTTCATTTGGGAGGGTTTTGTTATAGTTTTTTAGTTTAAAAATTAAAATTTTAATATTATAAAGTTGCTTTAAGAAGTAATAAGAAAGCCGTCCCAAACGAAGCCTAAGTTATGAACTTGTATTAGATTATGTGACAGCTTTCTTACTGCTTTCTACAGCAGCTTTCTAGTGCAATAATTTATAATTAAGAAAGTATCTTACTGCTTCTTAAAGCAACCTTTTAGTATAGAAGTTTTATTTATTGTACTAGAAAGATGCTTTAAGAAACAATAAAAAAACCGTCCCAAATGAAGCCTTAGTTACAAATACAACACGTTATAATACAATAACATAACGTAAAACAAAGATGTCAATGGAAAACAAGTCATGAAAACAAAGGTAATATAAAGAAGCTGAAAAAAAAAATCAATCTTGACAGTATAATAATGATTCATGTGCAAAGACAAGTTTATTACATCAAAAAATTTTAAGCTTTACAGAAAGTTTATTTCTAGTTAATTTAGAAGACATTTCTGAAAGTCTTTCAAGGCTCTGTTTCACTTTATAAAATAATAGTAGTTTTTTTTTTTTTTTCAGTTCTATCCCTCCTGACAGCCACCGCATGCCCAATTCAGACAGATCAGACCCACATTTCAATTCTAACCCAGCAATACCAAAATGTAGGTTCCACACTCATCACTTCACTGCTCCACCCTTTGCCATAATAAAGCCTCAGCACTCCTCATTCCTTTGGGATCTTCATATGCATCTAATCCTTCATCTACTTTAAAATTCTACTTAGTCTTCTTTGTTTGTTTTTTTTCCCCCTTCAAAACTGAGTCTTTTATTGTATCAATCTTTCTTTTTCCATCTTCTTTTAGAAACCATGACTCTGTATTCTTCTGATTAGACAAACTACAAAGTTCTATAATCAGAAAGGAAAGTAATAGAAGAAAAAATTACCATGGCAAGTATATAGGAAAAGCCTCTGACACAGTAGAAAGATACAGAACTTCCACAAGGTATTTTTGATTTAGTTGTCTTTATCTCTAATACTAATTGGTTACTACTACAATTTTTTTGAATTTATTACTGAGATTGCATCATCATTTTGGCTCTAGTTTTGTCAATTGAGGTGGGAATATTTAATTTGGCAAAAATGTCAATGAAGTTCTCCTATTGGCTTAGCAATAAGGATAAATCGTCAAAGAAATCTGCTGGTTGTATGACTGGAATTTTTCAATTATTTGATCGCCAGTTTCTCCTCTGCCCAAGTCAAATTAATGAGCAACACCATAAGAAGAGTCCTTCAGGTACTGATTAGCTTTCTCTAATTTTCTTCTTATTTTTAAGAATCTTTGTTAAGTGCAGCTGTCTGAAATATCAGCTTTCTTTAAAGTTTGAATTTTTTTCAAAAAAGGAAAAAGATCGATTAACAGTCATGTTTTTGAATTATGTATCAGTCCTGTATGTGTATGAAGAAGTCCTCATCTATGAGGTTTCAATTATCTGTATTTCCTTACAGATGTTTCTTATTTATTTTGAAGATCAACTTCTAAAAAAATCTGTGCATTTACAGCTGATGCAACAATAAGCCTCTGCAACCAGGGAGTTGACTACACAGACTTCTGCAACTTGGTATGATTTGATGTGAAGTTCATGTTTTTTCGTGTTTTGCCACCTGTATCTTTGAAAAATCCATTACTGTTGAGATGCATTTCTCAGGAATCAAGGTCTTCCATGGAATCGTCAACAAGAACCTCTCTCTCTTCTTCATCCGCACCATGTTCTTCACTCAAGCTGAGATTACAAAAAGGGGAACCAAAATCTTCTCAACAATCATTTTCCTCGGGAAGATCGCCAAAGAATTCAACAAAGCCAAGTAGTACAGATTCCATTCAATCCCCAGGCTTCAGAAACAGCTTCAAGGAATCTATATGCAAAGATCTTAAAACTAATTCAATGAAAGAAAAAAGAAAGGAGGAGGTCAAAAGAAACAAAGTCCTGAAGCCAGTTGACTCTCCAAGGCCTATTGATCTGTCCAATATGAAAGAACTTGAAGAATCACTTAGAACTTTGATCCAACTTAGGGAATTGCCTAGGAATTTCCATGAAGTGAGCGGTTCGCCTCGGTTTTCATATGATGGAAGGATTTCCACATATATCAAACAAGCAAATACGCAGAAAGAGCAGAGAAGATTATCTGTGGACAGCATGGAAGATTCACTAAGGCGTGACTTCAAATCCAAAGTCAACTCACTTAAGAAGGAACTAGAAAAGAAAGCCAATTCTAGGATATCTGAAGCCTCAACTCTTCATCCAGATCTTAAAAGTAATGAAAATCACACTAACATAATTGCAAAGCTCATGGGATTGGGGCCAATATATTCAGCTAGAGAAAGTTGTGTCAAGGGGAATGAACCAGTCGACAAACAGAAGAAACAAGAAAACAAAAATGTCAAGTTCTTACAATCTACGAGCAACTCACCTAAGTCTCCAATTACTATTAATCCACGTTTGAAATCCAATACCAATTCAAGATTAGTTGCTGAAGAGACTAAACAGAAGATGGCAGTTGAATATGAAGAGGACAATGTGAAGCAGAAAATTGAATCAGCTTACAATGTGATAGAGAAGACATTGCAGAAGCTTGAATTCCATCATAACAGCAAGGAAATAAGAGATCTCAGACATGCAATATTCGATTCCAAGAACTCCACAAAATGCTTGAGCCCAACCAGCAAGTCAGAAAAATCAAGCATCGCAGAAAGAGCTTTGAAGTCTCCAATTACTATCAGGAAATCTGAAAGCAATTCAGCCGGTATTTCTTCCTCCCAATCTGCTAGACTGGAAGGGCCATCAGGTCTTAGAAAGATTAAAACGAGCGATTCAACCGACAAAAAGAAGAAATCTTTGAGTGCCGATGGAGGACAAACTCCAACTGGAAAGACATCTAATAGCTTGAATTCATCAGCCAAAGTAACAAGTGGAAGATCAGGAGATAACTCTGTAAGCCCAAGTTTGCAGAAGAGGAAGCCTGATCAAGAGAGGAAATCCTGTGCCGTGATTCCTTCTTATGGCTTGAAAAAGAACCAATGGCAACCTGATAATAGGCAACAAGCAGAGTCAGTGTCTCCAAGTAGTAGAATTAGACAGAAATCAAGCAAGGCACAAGCTAATGAAGGGAAGTCAAGTTTATTGCACCAAACGAAGGGAAAGTCAGCCACCACTGCTGCTTCAGCCTCAAAACACACGGTAAATTGTGAATTCTATATTTTAATCTCAAGTTCTTATCAGTTATTTAAAGCATGCAAAACTCAGATAGAATTCTCCATTAACTTAATCTAGTCTATGCATGATAGATTTTGCTTATGAAGCTTTGAGCTTAGTTTATTTCTTATTTAATGCATCAAAATTTTTACAACTTATAAATATAAAATCCACATTAAAAAACAGAACAATTAAAGGAAAAACTTCACATCAGCTGCTTTTGATTGTTGATTTGAAGATAAATTATATTATATCTTTGTTTCTTGTCAGAAACTTTTATTCTTCATTGTTAGTTTCTCAATTCAATTTGCTATTTTCTTCAGCTACATCAGATGATTGAAAGAAACGTTACTTTTGTGGAGGAGCTTGAGAAGATGGTTCCTCAGTTGTCAAGCCCCAACTCTGTGCTTGATGCCTCGCCATACCAGGATGACCTGCCTCTTTCCCCTTTATCACTCTCGAGCATATCAAACGGTAAGAAATTCAAATGGTGAAAGCATAAGGAGAATGAAAAACATTTATATATTTTGATACCAAATAGCCTTTATTTGCTATTCCTTTGTAATAACAAACTGGAATTCATTTCAGCAGAGGATGAGAACCTTCCTTCAGCTCTCAATTTGAAAATAATTCATCTCCCTCAGAACCTTCCCTCAACTTTCAGCTTCAAAAAGGATTCTCAGAAACAAGAAGCTCATAAATTCATATTTCCTGGATTAATTACAGACAAGAATGATCCAGATAACAAATATGTGGCTGAGGTGCTCTTATCATCAAGCCTTCTAACAGAAGACTCACAAATGTCTGCCATTCTCATGCAAATAAAGCTGGTTGAACCATTTGAAGCTGTTGAAAAGAACAATACTCGGACACTTCACAAACAGCTTGTTTACGATGTGGTGAATGAGATTCTACATAGAAAAATAGAGGCGTTCAACTCTGGTTGTCAGCATGATCATTTACTTAAACCCAATATGTTGAGTTTGCAGCTTCTTTTTAAAGAACTTTGCTTCGAGGTAAAATATCTTCGGAGTTATATTGATGGAAGCGTTCAAGGTAAGGACACAGTATTTACTAAGGATTTGATCCAGCGATCGAATGTTTGGGACAGATTTGACAGTGAAATTCCTGTTGTAGTTTTAGAGATTGAAAGGCTAATTTTTGTTGATCTGATTAATGAGATTTTAAGCAGTTTGATTAATGTTGTCCTAGAGCCCAAGCAGAGATATAGAAGACAACTATTTGTTTAATGTCGGATTTCAGTCTAGTTTGCATTGGGTTTCTTTTTATGTTCATAAATGTTTCTCCTTTACCACATAATGAAATCATTTGTTTCCAATAGCTACTGGTGATTGAAATGTACTAAAAAGCATCTCGTAAGTGTTGGATCCAAATTTGTTCGTGAAAGATAATCTATCTTACTAGCAAGCAATTTCAAGAGACAGAGACCTGAGAGCTTGTGGAGAATATGGAAAGGAAAAGAGAGGATAAAGCAATTTAGAAAATGCTAAGGAAAATACTAGGGAAATATTTTGCTAGTTCAATCAAGCTTCAAAAGATTCAAAATTTATCTTTTCACTCTTTATTTATAGGGATATGAGGGCTATAAGAAAAATTAGACCAAAAAATATAAAAAGTACAATAGTAAATGAGACTTGAAATATACTACTAAGGATGTATGTCACATTTTGATAGGCTCTTTGTGTGTTTCTCCTCTTAGGTCTAGCTTTTGATACGAGGCGAGCTCCCTCTACTGAGTGTTCGTGGGCGAGTCAGTGCAGGCGAGTTCTAAAAATTGATCAAATTAGACAAGTCTATGGCAATGGGTCCTTTTGCTGCATTTGTGATCCCTTGGGAGCGATCCTTAGGCCATTTCGATAGGAAGGACATGTAACAATCCATACTATTAACCATCGAGATATATTGTCCTACAACTGCTCTTAGAGGTGCATGCTTAACCTTATAATTTCTACTAGATTTCAACCTTTACATCAAAGACATTTTGATGTTTAACGGTTTAACTTTATTTTCTTAAGCAATATCATAATCTATTCCACTAAAATTGTTGATGACCTCGTCAATTTCCTTAACCCAAAATTATACACTAGGCAGATAGGATTCTAATTGTAGAATTCCTATATTACAGCTGATGTATTGTTTTGATACCATTTATAACAATTCAAACACTCAACCATTTACAACTATAGCCTAATGACCTCACGGTTTTATCTTGTTTGTATAATTTCCCAAGAGGTTACCCATCTTATGAGTGCACTTTTACAAGCACCCTTAATTTTAAAGCTTTTAATAAAATTTTAACCATTACAGAAAAAGATACCTCAATATTTATGATTTTAATTTTATTTTTCTTAACGGGTTTCATAGTATGAGTCCACTTAAGCAAGCTAACGGTTGGTGAACATGATGAAGTGTATTTTTGTCTCCATGGTGGGTAAAACTTCCTAGTGACTTGATCAAAGAATGCCATTGGCGACTTGCTGACTGGTTATATCTGTAAGTTGCTACGGGATGGTGACCATATTGTGGAGATAAATTCACATGGCCTAAAGGATCCTGTATGAATCCATTGAATTTTCCTCGGGGATCATCTTGTCAGGTTGCTTTGTCGAGTAGACTCAAGTCCTTTTTGTTATGTGTGGAATCTATTTGTGTTAATCAATATGATTATTTTGTTGTCTCAAACCTCAAAGCTCGTCGTCGTATATACTGAGGGGTGCGAGGGATTTGCCCCTTGCTTGGGTTTCAGTGCTTTGCACCCGAATTTTTTTTTATACAACGCCCTGTGCTGCATACCCTAGCGCCCCAACGTTGTGTTCACGAATGTCTCAGCACTAAATGACAAAGAGCAGAGCGCCACAACGGCCTTGATATGGCGCCACAACGGTGCAAGATAAAGGCTTGAGCATCGTAGCACTTCAAACATAGCGCCGCATCTCTACGAGGCAGGCTGGATGATTTTCTTTCTCGTTTTTTAAAGGGTTGTGTCCCTTGGAGTTTATTTACTTGGCTTTCTCTTCTATTTTCAATGAGGGCAAAAGTGAGAACGATGCATGTGAGAAGAGAAGCAAGGAGAGAACAATAGAGAAGAGAGATATGTACTTATTTCTCCCAATTTTCATAGTGGATATTTTGGTGTGGTATGGCTCCGTAGTTTTTTTTCCTATTTTGAGTTTTCCACGTTAAATATTAGTGTCCTTTACTTTGCTCTTGCTTTACTTTTTTGTTTATTTTATCATTGTGGTGTTTACTACTCATGTCTTCCCCCAACACTTTTGCTATCTAGTACTTCTTGTTGAGGATGATCATTCAAGTTCTTCTATTGAAATTTGCCAGGCACTTGTGAGATACCCAAGCAGGCATGAACAATTATACACTGATAAAACTGCTTTGAGTAGTTATTTAATCTAAAAATTCATATGTTCTATCCAAATTACTCTCAAATTACATTTGTATTTGAGAAATTATGAATATAATTTATTCCCAGTCAAAACAAGACAAAATTTGCAATCGAAGCAATCAATTGGTTGAACATGCAAAAACTTTCTTAAATATAGTTTTTGTGCATTAATTTTTTTTCTATTTTATGCTATTTTCACCCTCGTTGTTTGAAATAGATTTCACCTAATTTTGTGGAGCTGCACAACTGCTGTCAAATCCAATAAGAAGCCCAATTAAGGGTCTTCAAAAGTTATCTACGTGTCTTGAAGTTCATTTAATTGGACTTATAAAGCCCATCATGGATTTGGGCTTATATATCTTTTATGATGCGCGTGTGCTGTGATCAAAATTTATTTTAAAATATTTTTGGATTTTTCGATGGCTTAAACGAAAAATTGCACGCATAATCAGTAAGAAATAAATCATAGTTAGGTTAAGTGATTTTAGGATAAATTTATTATTTTCAAATAAATAGTTTATTCAAAATTTATAATAAGATTAGTTTGTGTTAATTATGTTATATTAATTTTAGAAAATAAGTCAAGGAACATACATATTTAATAATGTTCCGTAGATAATTATAATTAAAAAAATTATTTTATTTATAACTTTAGTTAACTTTAATGAACTATTTGTTATATCGAAATTGAATATAAATAAAAATTTGAAGAAAAAAAAAACATTTACATTCTTTAAGATTATTCAAATAAAATAAACCCTTAAAACTAGGTACTCTATCTAGCTCCAAATCATGTAACTTTTATTTGGTCTGGTCACAGGACGTAGCTCTACGTTCGGCCGCCAGTAGAATCGTGCCATGCGTTCTCACTATTTACCGCGCGCCCCGACAACCCGGCCAGGAACGTACCTAGAATGGCTCGGTATTTCTCGATTTTGCTAGGTATTGCTCGGTATTGCTAGGTATTGGTCGATTTTGCTCGGCAATAATCAATACCGAGCAAATACCGAGTAATACCGAGCAATACCGAGTTGTACTGAGTTTTTCTAAAAAAACTTGGTACAACTCGGTATTGATTGATATTACTCGGTAATGGTCTTCACAGAGCGGTATTTCTCATTATTGCCAAGCAATACCTAGCAATACCGAGCAATACCGAGTAATATCTCGCAATACGCGAACATAGCATTCCCGGGTTCCGGTCCGGGCCAAGTCGTCGGGCCGCACGGTAAAGAGTAAGAGCACGTGACGACATGTTATTGGCGGCTGAACGTAGCTCTACATCGGGTCAGAGGACGTAATAATTGTTCCAAATCATGGCTCTTAAGCCAACTCAAATTTAGCTAGGTTTCTTTTGTGATAGCTTTCTTTCTGCTTTCTAAAGCACTTTTCTTGCTACTTTCTAGATAAAAATGCTTAAAATTACCTACATAAAATTAACTATAACAGTCGATCAAAATTGTTGATGAGCTTGATTAAAGAAGGGACCATTCATGATCATTCATGCCATGCAAAGGAAGGAGTAGAAGCACAGTGGTCCATCTTAGTTGAGCCTTTTGTGTTTTTAATATGCTCAGTTGTGGTCCTGTGGACCATATAAGACTAGCTAGTACTACTGTAAATCTTGCCATCTTGAAGGCAGTATAAGCCACTTTTCAGTAGCCCCAGTACTCTACCTTGCTTAGAATGCCTAATTTACTTGGATCTGAACCTCCTATTCTTGTCTTATTGAAATTTTTCACTGAAGTAATCCAAATATCATTTACTCTAAAAAGAATAGGTACCATATAATTCCACAATATATCAATAGATGAGCTTCAGGCCATGGAGCTTCATATAAGTGTTCACTGTCATGTCTAAGGCCAACGTACATTTGATGCATGCATGCTGTGTTAGTGTGGGAAGAGCTTTCTTTGGATTACTCATTCTACTGGCCTATTTATTGTATTGAAAGCATAGGGTGCCATTTGTTGATGAGAGATTGTGAATTATATAGATGTTGAGGGTTTCCTTGGCTCTACAAAATTCCACATCTACAACTTGTTATTTTACCTTTCCTTTTTCTTTTGGGATTAACGAGGTCTCTCATTCAACCAATCCGCTCGCCTCATCTAAATTGGATCTATTGACAAGTCCGACTGATCCGAGGTCATTATAATGAGACTTGGCTCAAGATCAAGAAAACCATCTAAATAAACATCAGACTAGAGTGATATTGAAGTCGGTCCTACCGAGACTCGTTCGCTCAAATACATTACTTTGGGTGAATGAGGCTTGTCTTCCCAACAATGGAATGTTGGAGCAGCTCAAAAAACTTGTCAAAAAAATTACCTACCCATGATCCCACAATGTGGCATGTCATATTCTATAGCTATCATTCTCTCTACATCCTATATCACTTGGTAGATATATATATATATATATATATATATATGGGAAACATATTATTTAGGAATATCTTAAGAGGTATATATAAAGGAGAGAGGTAGTGATTTTATTAGTGGGTTTCGCTCTTACTAATCTTGCCCTACGAATTCTAGCTTAGCTAGTTTATATGAGGATGCTCTTGATCTATTTGCATGTCTTCTTCTTCAATTCTCTTCCTCCTTTATCATCAACATTTTTCTCTTTATGACACGTACTATATTTATCATGTCAATATCATCAAAACAAATAGTTATATGAAATTAATGATTTTGTAATTGGACTCACTAATATTAATGGTAAGCACAAAAGCATAGATGTAGTGCTTAATTATTTAATATGATCGACTACCCTAGTAAAAAATTGAATTATAATTAATTTTATAATCATTCCTTAAAAAAAAAAAATCTTAAACTAAGATATTATGGTTTACCATAAATTATTGTTGAGTTTATTATTTTAAAAAAATTATCTAAATAATAAACATGATTACCATTATTTTATATGGGGTTACCAAAGTATGATTTTGAATAAAGCTGCTAAAATAATAGATCAAATTATTCAAATTAAGTTTGAATGAACATCGGCTTAACTAGTAATCAAATTTATTTTTTTAATAACTAAATTCAAAATATATAATAATAATAATAATAATAATAATAATAATAATTAAATCTATAAATTTAATAAAAACATACAAAATAATCTATCAGTTAATCCAAATTCAAAAATTAGATCCACCATTTTAGTAATCACATTCAAAATTGTAGCAACCGGATCCATTATTTTAGTAACCACGTTCAAAATAATAATAATAATAATAATAAGTTTTATTTGTTTAGTAAATAAATCCAAAATAGTAGCAAATAGATTCATAATTCGCATTTAAAAGTTTATTTTTTATGGTAAATGAAAAAGATAATACTAGTTTCTGGTCAATTATAGGAAATTAAAGCATTCAACCCCTATCTAATCATTTTTTAGCCTCTTCTCAAACTCCATTTTTATCTTTCGGTGAGGCTATGTTCAATATTTCTTTGTGAACCCCTATTGTCTATGGCTCTCTAATGAGGCTCCTCAAACGGTCCCATTCTTTGATATTAATGAAAAATCTCCCAACAACCTCATTTTGTACATGCATGGTCACATCAAGAACAATATGGAATTTTATTTTTTTATTTTTTCTTCTCTTTTTGGGCATCCTTAAAAATAGACTCAATTGTGAACTCCTTATTTAAGCCATATGATTTTAGAGTTATTGTTAAAATTAATATCTTGTAAATTTGAAAAGGAGGTTTGGATGGGCTCCATAAATAATTACTACCTAATTTCAAAAAATAAAGATGAATTAAGGAAATGTCTCTTTATGCTCACATTATTGCATTCGTGGTCACCTCTCCATTGAATGCTTTGAACTTTACCTCATTATGACTTTCATGTGGCTTATGAAGGGGGTGACTTGATTATTTTGAAAGTTTATTTAAAAAATAATTTGATCTAATCTAATTTTCAATGGAAGAAAATTTAGATATCAAGCTAAACAACATCATAAGTGATTATACTAAAAAAATGAAGTAAAAAAAAAAATATAGAAAGAATTATGAATTTAACCTCAATGAAAAACTTATCCGCCTAATTGCACATCACAAACTAAGATTCTCTTACTCATGTATTCTTTAACTATTGGTGGATAAACTTTGTTTTTTTTAGAATACTCAATGCACTACAGGAAAATGCGTCCTTATCGTCGGACTTTCCGGCGGACTATTTTACAACGGTAATAATGGCACACGTACCGGCGAAAGTTTCACATACTGGCGAATGTTTCACCGGTACTTTAACGACGCATTATCAGGCAGATGTTTCGCCGGTAATTTACCGGCGCACATTCCGCCGGCATTTCTTAGTTGTCCAACGCATATTCTGCCGGTAACAACCGAATCATTTTCGGCGGAATTACCGGCACATAATGCGCTGGCTTACTTAACTCGACGAATCATTTCCGACATATTATCCGCCGGTTGTTTAACAGGCGGATAAGACACCGGAAATTGCGCCGGTTAAAGCCCTATTTCAACCTCCACCGAATGACTTCTCTCATTTTTTTCTCTCTCACGTCGGAGGACTGTTGCGCATTTGAGAGCTGTGACGATGCCGCGGTATCACCTATCTCCTCGCTCAAGTCCCAACGCTCCGAAATCGGCCTCTCTTTGCTCAAGTTTGTGGGCTGCCGCGACATCCAACCGGCGAGCACTTCTTCGTCACGTCCGAGAGCTCCCCCGACCGAACCTTGCCGACTTTCACCAAAAGCAATCTCGAACTCCACCGGTAAGGGAATATATTATCTCATCTCCTTGAGTTTGAATGTTTTTATTATATATTTGCAAGAGCATGTATATTGGAGTGTAATTTTTGTAAAAATTAATTTTAGTGAGGGGAGGGGATTATGATTTTGGATGATCAAGTCATTAATAAATATTCACATTATTAAGAATTATGGTGAAATAGATGGGGATATTATTAGTAGAATTCAAGTTGGATGGTTGAAGTAGAGGAAAGTGTTGGGCTTGTTGCATGATATAAAATCCCCCCTCAAACTTAAGGGGAAATTCTATAAGGTGGTGGTTAGACCTACAATGCTTTCTGATGCAGAATGTTGGACATAAAAAGAGAAGCATAATATTAAGTTAAGTGTTCCAGAGATGATGATACTCAGGTGGATGAGTGGCTTTACTCTTAGAGACAGGATATGCACATGAAAAGGCTTGTTGCATGGTTGCAGGCATTTCGCCTCAACAACCGACAAAAATGTTTCTGGTGCAAAAGATTCGTCAGCGTTTTCTTTCCGACACACGAATTACAGTCGAAAAAATTTGGGTCGGAAAAGCACCTGAAATGTGTTATTTCTGACATTTTGTTGTTGTTACCGGCGAATTCCATCCACTGGTAATACCGCATTTTCCTGTAGTGAGGATGGATCTACGAGTTAATAATTAAAATTATGTTACAAGTCTTTATAGAGATCGATAACCCAATAATACTAAGAGAGCTACATTAAATTTTTTCAATAAAGTAAATTTTTAAAAAAATTAGCCACAACTTTTTGCTTTAAAAAATATTTATACTACAAAATTATTTGCTATCTGCAACAGCTTTACAAAGACATAAAAAAAATATCCCAACCAAAATCTAAAAATCAATATTTGCTCAGATTTGAAACAATTATAATGTTATAAACTTATAATAATGCAAACTACTAAGTGTTAGTCTTTTGCAATTCATCTATTGATCATCACAATTCCGTTCAACGATCATATAACAATTCTTAAGGAGTTCGGAAGATCAAATTCATCCTATACTAAACAATATATAAAAACAAAAATTAATCTATTACACCACTCATCTTACCCATAATTAAATATATGAGACTCTGGTATTTCTCTAACTATAGGTGGAAAAACTTTTTTTTTTGTGGAGAAAACCAAAGAATGGGCCTATTCGTTAATAATCAAAATTATGTTGCAATTCTTTAAAGAGATCGATAGCCTGCCAATGCTCAAAAAGCTAAAATAAAAAAGACAAAAAAAATCCTGAGAGTCAAACACTATAGGAAATTCAACTGTTACCGGCGGCCTAGATCGGCGGTTGTCTAGCCACCGGTAATAGCGGAAGTTTAGTCGGCAGTTTGGCCGCCGGAAACGACGATACCGGATGGTTTATTTTACGCCGCCGGAAATGTAATCAAACCGCCGACATTTTCTGGCGGTCTACCGACGGTTACAATGTTTTGGCCGCCAGAAATAACGAAACCGGACGACTGATTGACGCCGCCGAAAATTTCTTTTAACCGCCGATATTTTACCGGCGGTTTACCGACGTCGCCCGGTGGTTATCCGGCGACATACCGACGGTGTCTACCGTCGGCAATACCGTCGGCGAGGACGACGGGTAGCCGGCAGTTTGCCGACGCTGTTCGGCGGTTGTTTGACCGCACGCCGGCTGCTATAACTGCTTAAAATTGAAATAGGTCATAAGATCTATACCAAAATGGAAGTTGAGAGAAATTCATATGATGGCACGTTTGGAGATTATCTTCTTCCAAAAAGGGTTTATCTCTTAGTAAGATATGTAATGAAAGATATATTTATATCAGAATAATGTAAATTTTTTTGCTAGAAAGTACTCATTTTAGAAAGCAACAAGAAAGTTGTCCCAAACGAAATCTAAATAAGTCATCTGCTCAAGCAGATTGAATTTTGTCTGCTTTGAATTATTTTATGTTCAATTTCATGATATTGAACATCCCAACTATTGCTTAGGTTTTTAGAGATCGAGTGATGGATCTCGTTACAATCACTATGAATGTAGTTATTAAAATAACATATTTGGTTACTTAAGGTAATGGCTACTTAGGCTTCGTTTGTGATGGCTTTCTTACTGCTTCTTAAAGCAGCTTTCTAGTATAAAAAAATTATTGTTGTACTAAAAAGCTGCTTTAAGAAGCAGTAAGAAAGCCATCCCAAACAAACCCTTAATCTCTAAGAATTATAGCTTTTTAGACTAGTCATCTCTTTGCATACCTCTTGCACTTATGAAAAGCACTTGTTAAGAAGCAATTATTGATTTCAATTTTTTGTCTTCTTATTTCAGATATGCAGAGCAATTCAGAACTTGAATTCAAAGTCTCTTGTAAGTTTATCTTATCAATGAAATTTTAAATTGCTTTAGAAAAAAATCCTTTAAAAAAAGTTACAAAAAGTAATTCTACAGGAACATATTTGATGATCTTTAACCATATTTTTTAATAAAGTGTCATTATTACTAAGCTAATTAGAGGAGAAGCTTCAATTCAATTAAATTTCTTCAATAAATTAAATTTTAAAAATATTAGCCATAATTTTTTTGTTGCTTTTAAAAAATATTTATGGTACAAAGTAATAAAAAAATATCCCAAAAAATCTAAAAATTAATATTTCTTGGGTTGGGACGACCAAGTTCACCCTATACTAAACAATATATAAAAAGAAATACTAGTCAATTACACCACTTATCTTACTCAAAATTAAATATATGAGTGCCACCAAAATATTCTTTTATTATGACAATTTTGAATTTTAACCATATTTTCTTAGATAATTTAACAAATAAAAGAGCATATTATTAATTGCAGCAGCAGTACTGATGTGAGCACCATGGATCAAAAGAATTCAAAACGCGTAGCATTGAATAGCAAACAACACTTCAAATATAGATAGAATTTGTTTCAAAGTAGTCTTACACACTTCGAGACAGCAACCAAACAAGTATGTAGTAACGATTACAATGCATATAGTAGTGATCTATTTATCACAGCTTTAATATCACATGACTAAAATGAAAGACTTCATATATTTTCATACATAATATCCAATTACTATAGCTTGCTTTGATGATAGACTTCATTTGGAACAATTTTTTTACTACTTCATAAAACAGTTTTATAGTAAATTTTTATACTAAAAAATTGCTTTAAGAAGCAATAAAAAAATTGTCCCAAACGAAACCTAAAATGTGCCTTTCTAATAACTTCGAAAGCAAAAGCATACAGATCATATAATATTACTGTGTTTAGAATGTTTTTTTATACACAGTAGTACATAGAAAGAAACTCAGTTTTGCGTCTGTGCATTTTGCTCACCTTACAGTTTCTCTTTGAATCCATGCTCGAGCACCCATCTCAACAATCTCTATAAAGTGAAGTATGTGGGGAGGCATTTGAAGCCCTACTACTGCTTCCTCTCATGTTCTCTACCTGCTCATTATCAAGCTTCTAATTTGATGAATAATTGCTAAAGATTTATATCTCTAATAAAAGATTAATCATACGTGGCTAAAAATATTGCATGCTTTTAGTCATAAATTTTAAGAAAAAATTAGAGGCTAATTTTTACCATTTAGTAACATTTTATACGTAATATGTGATTATAGCTCAAATTGTGAAAAAGATGTTTGCATTACCTGCATGAAGAGATGTTCTTGAAGAATTTAACGGCAAAAGTTGCGCAAAAGTGCTCGGCATTTGAAAAATGTTGTGATTATTTCCATATAATGAGAATACTGATGGCATCATAGGCTGCGAACCCGGCATTAATGAGATCAGGGAAGGAGATCCTGAAGCTAATAGAAAACCTTGAGCAACTTCTGCCTGAGGTACATTTGGCTCAAATTGGTGAAAAAAAGTGTATTCCAGGGTACTATCCATTTCATCATGAGGATATTTTTCACTATTCCCTTTCTGATCAATCCCTGATTCAAATGTGATATCTCTTGCTAATCTACTTCTCATGAAGTTGTCAGAATTCCAGTAAGCTGTTTTCTGAAACTGTGCTACATTCTGATCATCAACAACATTGTTATTAAAAACATTTTGATCATTACTGAATGTTTGAGCTATTTGATCAGAATCAGTAAAATTTTCAGTAATTCCATCATTAACAGCTGAAGAAGAAGAAGCCAAAGTTTGAGGAAACTGAATTAAATTTTCTGGAAAAAGCGGTAGCGGTGGAAGTTTGTCGATTTCATGTTGAGAAGCATTAAGTAACCAATCTACAACCTTGCTTGGTTGATTAAGGCCAAGCTTGTCTTGAAGATCATACAATTGAATTGCAGTAGGCACTGATAGCCTCACTCTTCTGTCCTTCAATCCTCTTATGGTGCTCACTTTACTATGTCTATCTTTACCTTTAAATGTTTGGGAGACTCTCACTACCCTTGGATTTCTCAGTGCAGACCATAGTCTTGTGCTTGTTTTAGGCTTGGTGGCGTCAGTACTTGTTCCCCCATCTTGTTTAGTGAGGAACTCCTTTTCTCTTGAATCTTTTATCATCTTATGATTTTCATCATAGCTTGTCCTGAGCAATTTAAGAAATTAATCTAGAAATTAATGATCAACTTATTCCTTAATAAAGGAGCAAAGTAATTGATACTTTATATGAAATCTTTTGAAATTGTACAAAGATATCAAAGATGGGCGGCAAATCACCAAGAATTCTTGTACAAATTTCAAGGCAAAGTTCAAGGGCAGGCATAGAAATTACAACAAAAATTGAATTAATAAAGAAAAAAATCCTCTAGTTTCAGATGAGAAAAGTAAAGAACATCAATTAATCTTAAAAAAAAAAAACTATAACTAAAACTAAAAGAATTTTCCGAAGTGTAACAAATGAATATATCACTGTGATTATAGATCCAAGCCAAAAAATAGACTTCTAATCTTTAGATGACAGAAGAAAATCTGAAAAAGAAATGAAGCAATTCAATTCATACTCAATACAGAATCATGATCCAGTACATGCAGTTCATATATATATTTATTATTTATTATAATTATGATTATTTTGTGCTTTTCCTTAAGATGAAGATTCAAACTTACTTGGAAACGGCCATATCCCATAATTTTCTTGATGAATTTCTTCAAAGAATTCAGTGTGTAGACAAGAAAATCAGAAGAGTCTGAAGTTGAGACTGAAATAACTTTTAGACGAAATGGATTCTAAGTAAAGAAGATTAGGTGCTTTGAGAGAAAGAAGATGCTGGATTTGCAGAAACCCTAAAAAAGAAAAAAAGTCATTGCGCATTTGCTAACATGTGGTGCTTATTTATGCCTATCAATTTTTGATGTAGTCATCATCACAACCACCGCTTTATTGACATGGGTAAGTTAGGCTTAATTACCTGCTAGCTCTTCATGAAATTTTTATTTATGTTTGTTAACTATAGGTTTTACCTCTTGTAATTGTAATATACTTTTTTATGCTGCATTGTGAACAAAAATATCCTCTCTCTCTCTCTCTTATATATATATATATATATATATCTTCATTAAGTGTCTTAATCAAATTAAAATGAAGATTTCTAAAATTATATATGGTTGAATATTCATCAATATATAGGAAGCTAAATCGTAGCCCAGCTGGGACCAATATAACCTCTTTAAGACAGCACTAACAGCAGAAGGACCACAGCACCTCCCTCTTATCTCTGACAAAAATTTAGTTGGGAGCAAGTTGATGCTAATAAGAATTCTGAAATGGCATTAGAAAATGAAGGAATAATATCTTAGACATACATGTGTCTTTATCAAGATTCATTACAGCTCTGAGATACACCATAATGTCTTAGAACTTAAAATAGTTCCAACTACAAACATGCATCTTAATATTTGAAACATTTATTATATTTCCATTTTTTTTATTCATTTTTCTCATTTCATTATGATGAAATTAATAGAAAGAATCACCATTTCATGCACATTTACGCATGCCATTTATCTAACGCTATAATACTTTTGGACAAATACTAGAAAGTTGTTTTATAAATCACTTTCGGGCTCAACAATGCTGGAGCAACTTATCAACGCCTAATGAATAAGATTTTCAAAACCCTTAGTGAGCGTAACATGGAGGTGTACGTGGACGACATGTTGATAAAGAGTCTTGAAAAATCTCAACAAATCTCTGACTTGGAGTAGTGCTTCTATTTGTTGAGACATTATAATATGCGGCTCAACCCTGCCAAATGCGCCTTTGGAGTCGCTTCTGAAAAAATTTTGGGGTTTATGGTAACCCATAGAGGAATCGAAGCCAATCCCGAAAAGATCAAGACGTTAAGAGATATGGCATAATATTTGTTCGGTGAGCACATTACTCACTATTTGTGATTGTGCTTAGTATTTGTACAATAGTAGCTAGGCCTGTGTGTTGATCGATCAGAATAATCTATTTGTCTACTTTTCTTGTATTGAACTTTTTATTAGCTTTTTAGAATACTTTAGTTTATATTTGGCAATGGAGCTTATAAATTTATATATTGCAAAACCTGAAATAAGTAGACTTTCTTGTTATACAAGCATGAAACATCCTTCAAAAAAAGTATGAAAGCTCTTGATGCTTTGCATGTTACTTGCTTGTTCTTAGTACTTCACAATATGACAATCACAACAGTTAATCTGTACAGTTTAAACTAGTTTTTCACCATGCCTTACATGAAGAAGATATGTTTCAAAATAGAAAGCATCATTTCGATCAGCTTACAGGAAATTTTAATTTTCTTTTTTTGGTCATAAACCAGGATTTACCCATCACTTTTGGTTACAGGAGCTGATAAAAAGAAGAGGCATGATAAAAAAGGAAACAAATGAGAGTGTAAATAAGAGTCTGCATCTTCTGAAACTCCTCAGAGATTTGTTCCTTTCATCTCTTTCACAGCTGTACTGTAGCGTCTTTTCTAGGGTTTGCCCACATTTAGGGTTTAGGGTTTCCTGCACATGGGATAGGCAAAACACTTTAACAAAAATGTTATATTCTTGTTTACACTCATGTGATTATGCATTGTACTCAATTTTTTCATGCAACTCAATCTGTCAACATATCAAGATTTTTTTTTTGGCTCAACTTATCTTAGGCTTATTTTGGGGCGACTTTCTTAATTATTACTTCTTAAAGAAACTTATTAGTTTAAAATTATTATTTTTTATTAAAAAGTTGTTTTAAGAAGCATTAAGAAAGCCGTCACAAGCTTTCTTTCTGCTTCTTAAAATTTTTGTACGTACTCAAAAGTCGTTTTACGAAGCATAAGATAGCCGTTCTAAACAAAGCCTTAATCTGTTAGGCTGAAGCTTTCGCTATAAATCAAAAGTTTTTGAGTTTGAAGCTTCTGTATCTAATGCAATATGAATATATTATATATCTTAATGACTCAAATATCACAAAAAAGAATAAAAAAAGAGATTTTTTTTTTTTAAATTAAGTTTTAGATGAGGGAACTTTATCATTGCTGGATATAAATCAGTTCAGAAATTACTCTCTTATTAAAATATTTGAAAGGAAGTTCTGATCAACATTTATTTATTTTTGAGATCTCAAATATGTTTAGGGTTGAGAGAGAGAGAGAGAGAGAGAGAGCATGCAGTTAATTAGAAGAGTGGCAGGCCTACAAATGGTCCCAAAAGCCGTATATAATTGTTTCAGTGGAATGAATTTAGGTCACCTGCTCCAATGCAACAGTAGCCAACTAATTAACATGCTGTATTATTGTTTGTCTTCACAGTAACAGAGAACAAATTATTCTCCAAAAAGAAAAAAAAAAGACAGAGAACTAATTAACCCTTATTAATATATAAAGTTCTCACTATTATATTTTTCTTTTAATAGTAAAAATTTAATCATTTTTCTATATTTATATTTAACTCCACCTTCCCAAAAATAAACATAAAATATAACTTTTAGTCTACTTAGATTAGATGGTCAGCTAATGAAAATAAATTTCATCAGAGGAGAATAATTATGCCTTGACTTTTTTTAAGCATTTACTATTTAATTTTTTTCTTTAAGGTCATAATCATACACCGTTGATTGGGATCAATAATATGAATATTTATGGACTGGATTTATCATTTTTATAATAATTTAATCATTTATTAAGTTTGTTAGAACAAAGATGATGTGATGACATATATATATGCCTTCTCATTAGACTTAATTATCATAGCCAAATGTTTCAACCAGTCAAAATCATAGGACATTTATTTAATTTCAACACATTTCCTAAATTTGAAATTTTCTTCTCATTCAATTAGAGTTATTAATTAAAAATAATAATATCACCATTCATTGATGATCAAAGAAATTTTTTCTTTTTTGAAATAATGTGTTCGTTATAGTCTAGACGTCTATTTGGGGAACTTTTATTACGTCCTCTGACCGGATGTAGCTACGTTCGGTCAGAGGATTGTTACCCGGTTTTTGCTCGGTATTTGGTCGGTATTGCTAGGTATTTTTTTGGTAATAACGAGGAATACCGCTCTTTGAAGATCAATATCGAGTAATACTGAGCAATATATACCGAGTAATCCCAAAAAATAAAAACATTTTTCTACGTACGTTCACCGGACCAAATAAAAACATCTTTCTTCATATTTTGATTTTTAGATAAAACCTACAATTTTGTTTAGCTAATATTTTTTTTTTACTGTTTTTCATAAATTTCTGTAGTAGAACTTTGCTTTCTACAATCAAAGTAGCGAAGTTGTTTTCTCCACTATAACTTCACAACTAACTTTATAAGAAGTTGGAGCCGTCCCAAACACACCCTTATTTGAAGCTTTTAGCATTGGAGAGTATAGGTTTGGTCCCTCGGATTGGGAGAGAGAGAAGCAATCAAATCTCTATTATTTTATAAATGAGCTCCCCTCAAATCTAAATTTTTTAAGTTTTAACTTCAAATTCTTCAAAAAAAATTATACATTCACTTATAAAACTGTTTTATAAAATAACAAGAAAGTTATCCAAAACAAAAACTTACTGAAATTCATTGTCCTGCATATTCAACTTTCTAGTAATTTGATGAGGCTTGCAAATGGGTTGGTGTGTAAGTTGCACAGGACCAACTTTAAATTTCCAAGGATAAATATTCTACATGATCAACTTATTGGCCATTTTGAAATCCTGTAATATATAAAGGTGGTATACATAACTGTAATTGAAGCAATATAGTGAAATCAATGTAATCATAAATTAAATTAGGAAAGTTTATATGTAACTGAACATTGCAAATATAATTTCTTATGTATTTTATCAGCTACGTGATTTCCTATGTGTTTTTTTTGCCCAACAATAAATAATTTTTCATAGTTTGGATGAATTTGATAACTTTATTTTTTTTTTCTTAGAGGTCATAGAAGATACTTGTTGCGAGCAAGAATATACACGACAATAGAGTTATAGTTCTATAGCTTAGTATTGTATGGACATTTAGCTCACACACAGAGAACACGAGATTTTTTACGTGGAAAACTCTTGAAGGGTGAAAAATCACGGGGCCTAGCCCAATTGAAAATGATTCCACTAGAATTTGAGTTTGAGTACAATGGGCTGATTCATTCTGGAGGGCGATCAGATTATAAATATCAACCGTATGGTTGTAGTCTAGTAACAAACGGAGATGAAAGTCTGGCATCACTTGGTGGTCCGACGGAAATCCAGCTTTTAGTTGGCGGTCAGGCGGAAGTCCTTACATCAGTTGGATCTGGTGGAAGTCAAACATCAGGCGGTGGTCAGACGGAAGTCTGGCGTAAGGCGATGGTCCGGCAGAAGTCTGAGCGACAGTTGGTGGTCTGGTAGAGCTCCAGCATCGGGTGGTGGTCCGAAAGAACTCCGAGCATCAGGTGGTGGTCCATCAGAACTCCGACGTTAAGTGGTGGTCCGTCGAAACTCCGACGTCAGGTGTTGGTCCGGCAAAACTCTAGGCATCAAGTTGTGGTCAGATAGAACTTCGACGTCATGTGGTGGTCTGGCAGATTTATGGCGTCAGGTGGTGGTTCGGCGGAACTCTATACGTCAGGTGGTGGTCCAGTAAAAATTTGGCATCAGCTGGTGGTCCGGCGGAAGTTCGACGTTAGACAGTGGTCCGGCTGAACTTCGACATTAGGTGATTATCTGACGAAACTTTGGGTGGTGGTCGAGGAGGAGCAAAGGGGGCAAGAGCAATCTCAAGAAAAATGAGCGGTCTATTTATAGATTTTTTAGAGTGGCATGGCTTGTAAATGTCACAACCCGATTAGGATAGCTAGGTTCTATTATGTTGAGCTATAACAGGCAAATCTCAATATCTAGTTTTAAAATTATTTCAAATTTTTATGCCAAAATTTATTGAAATAAACTACACACTACATAGCTATTGAAACATCAAAATACTGAAAATAAATACATACACCAAACTTTTTTTATTTTATCAAAATAAATATCTACACTATAGTACATAGTTACAAGCAAGAGCTACATAACTAAAAATTTAGTTAGTCATAACTGTACAAAAATTAAAATAGCAAAATATATATGACCTTAGATTTGACCTTGAATTGCTAGTCCACAACCTATTTCCCCTTCCTAAATCCTAAAACCAGAAGTAAAATTACAGTGAACTATAACAGCTCAACAATCAACACAAATCAATCTAAAATTTTAAATATTCTTTTATCAAATATCTAAAAACAGCTAAGTACAATTTAAATAAATCATTAAACAGAGAATCACAAAACTGATAAATATATAATAGTTATAATTTTATTTAAATAACAGTATAAAACAAATAAATACATTGAAATTTATATCGCATATTAGTTGTAATCACATTTCTTGGATCCATACAGAATCTCAAAAGATTTTGATCCCTTATGACTCCCTTTTTATTTGTGCTTATAACATCAGAAAAATCACATAATATTCTTGTCTCAGATAAAATCTCAAAAGATTCTGGTCCCTTATAACTCCCAATAATTCACTGACACATACATAATCTCAAAAAATTCTAGCCTCTTATGGCTCCCAACAGATATAATTTACTCATATATGCACATATATAATCACATTATAATAATTAAAGAGTAATTGTGCATGTATTAAAATTTCACAATGTTGTATAACTGTGGACAAAAGAAAATTAAACTAGGCAAAAATGAACATTTTTAAAAAATTATCAAATTACTATGGATTGTGTAAAATGACGTTTTAAGACTTTTCTTATATTACCGCGCTAATTTTTAACATCAACATAATTTTCTATTAATTAAAAACCCCACAAATTTCAAATTTCCCGATAAAAATTAATTTTTTAGAAAATATTCAAAATGTGCATAATCATAATTGAGATGGACATAATACGTCTTACCTCAAGAAGAACAAGTTTGTCCACTTGGTCGACAAACAAAAATGACCCGAAATCACCCAAAATTAGACTTTATCTTTTTCTCTCTTTCTTTTTCTCTTCAATACCCTTTTCTCCTCTCTATTGGCCGAAATTGCTTAGGAAAAAATATAATTGCTTTAAACTTTCATTATGCTTTTAGATATTTTTTTTATTTTTATTTTTAAATAATATATATTAATAATTATCACTATAGGAAAAACACTGATTTCCGACAATTTTTTCTTTAAATATATTATTTATTTTAAATTTAATATTTTGTCATTATAATTAATTTATGTGAAATCCACTAGAAATTCTAATTTTTTACGGATTTTGGGCATTTTTCGACGAATTTGGTCCGCATGTAATGCACGTTTTTCCTGTAGTGAATATTATAATTAGTTTCAATAGAAAATTCATAAAAAATCTTTTATGCATTCAAAAAATTATAGCAAAATATACACAAATTATCTAATTTTATTTAGAAAATTTTGGTAAAATCAGCTTGCAAAACAGACCCAACTTGTACCGATAGGTGCCGATTCTTAAGAAATTTTGACAGTGCCAAAATTTTTTGAAAAAATTAGGGAAGATAAAACACAACATTATAAATGTTTTGGCTAAGACGGTTTATGATTTGGACTTCTCTTGGTCAACCAAAAAAAATCTTGAAAATTTAAAAGGTTTCACAGTAAATAGGAAGAAGATCAAGGGTAAATGGGGAGTGGCTTGGATGGACGACCGATGTTGAACCCTTTGATCATGGACCGTTTACTGGGCATTTGAAAATCTTAATAATATCATAATTCGGTGATCTTAGGCTTGTTGTTTTCGTCTCGTCTAGCCACTTGATTCGACTATAAGCATGCCATGTTTGGAAACTGTTTTGTAATCCAAATTGTGGTTTGAACCTTCCAACAACACTTCGGGTCCTTGATTTGGACCCACATTTGGGCTCAGATTGAGTCAAATTTGGTGTTGTTGGGTTCCATATTTTTGAGATGTTTAGTTCGACTATAAGTTTGCTGAAATTGGAGTTCAATGGTCCCGATTTTAATTTTGAAAGTTTCTAGCTTGATTTTGCCTAGAGATTTGTGCCCGATCAAGATAATTTTTTGATAATGTATCAATACTAAACTCTAAAATAAACTTATATTAGGATGCTTGAAATTCTCCTATGAAGATGTATATATATTTTCCAGTTCATATATTTTTATTTGTGTGAGTTTTGTTATCTATGCGTTTGCTTAGTAGCACTTTTTTAGAAGAATGAGCTTGCCCATGGTTTCCTCTTCATGACAGGTAAATGATGTTCTCTTCAAGCCTATTCGAAAGACTCAAGATGCAATGTTTTCCACAAAAACTCCTGATCGTATGCTGATGCCATGTGGACAAAAAACTCTGTACAAATCAAAATGCAGGAACTTGCTTTTTTTTTTTTTTTTTTGGGACATTTAGGCCAATAAAGGCAAACTCACACACACAACGCATACACATAGACTCGAACCTTGGACCTCTTAGTTGGAAGCCTAAGCTCTCAACCAATAGGCCAAGAAGAGTTGTGTAAATGCAGGAACTTGCTGCAAATGGCCTTGCTACCAAGGTCGATACTGATAACTGATAAATTTATCTTCCCATCCTTCACTAGAATTGGGCAGGAAAATGTCAAATATGAATGATATATTTTTCAGATTTTCAAGATAAATTCAATTTTCTATTAATTATGTTGAAATCAAATAACTAATATGAAATTGTTCCAGTACTAAATTCACAAAATTTATGATGTACATATCTATCACTTAATTTTTTTTATTTGCATATATAACATTTAAAATTTTAAAATATATAATAAATATCATTAATGTTATTCAAAAAAAGCGTGGTTAAAATCATTCCAACCTTTTGGCACTAAATTTATGCATCTTTCTCTTTTCATTCGCTTTATAAATCCTTATTTTTCATTGTCAACTTGTTGAATACTATCTCAGATATTAATTTTATTTTTCAAAGATTAATCCTTTCTCACATATTTTAACAAAATTATGTTGCTTAGTGTTGCTAATCATACTTTGGATTCTATTCTTTTGAGATTTCACATGACAATGGTGACACTATCTGCTAATATATTATCTGAAATGTAATGCCTGAATTACGTTAAGTAGCAGGTCTGCAGGTGGTAGGTATAGTAGCATATTAATTGGCATTAGATGAAAATAACCTTAGGATCCCAAGATTTATAGACAGTACTCTACATTTCTTTTGTTATGGTTTTTGAAATACTCTACTATTAGGTAGGGAATTGCTCGTGTAGGGGTGTTAAAATAAGTTTTCGGATTGGGTTTGAGTCCAACCCAAAAATGACTCATCATTATTTGACTTGATTCCATTGTAGAAACAGGTCAGAAATCCAAACCCAAATTCGACCAGCTCCAAACCTAGGTCAACCCGACTTGTCAAGCTAATTGGAGCACAGAGCAGGCAAGCGGGCTGCATGTCGTGGGATTGAGCATGGGCTACTAGTGCTTGAGTTGAGCACGGGTGAGGCAGGGCGTCGATATGGGACGCTAGTGCGAGACGCGAGGTCGAGCACTTGCAAGGCAGGCTGCGAGTGAGCGAATGTGGGACATGGGAGTGACACGGTGTGTGCGGGATCTGGGTCATTCATGTCAACTTCAAGTTTTCGTGGCAACCCGAACATGACCTGATTTTAAAAATGGTCATAAATTTGAACATGGACCATACCCATTTACCAAACGGTTGACAAGAACCTGTAATTTTTTGGGTCGGGTCTGGTTGGAGTCCAAGTCAGATTTCTGGTCATGTCAAATATTGACAACCCTATTCGTTGTGTTGGTATGGACTATGGACGATTGAGATTGAATGTAGTATTTATCTAATTTTAGAGCTCTGATCAATTTCAAATATTTAGGTAAAACTTGTATCAGATTCAAGCAGCCACAGTTTTTTTTTTAGCTATCTGAATTGTCCAACTAAATGGTTTGATATGATTGCATTTATAAAAAGATTATTCTAAATATTATTTAATAGTTTAAGACAATTAATATGGATAAAATAATATATTATATTATTATTAATTTTTATTTTATACTAGATTTGATTATATTGTTAAATTCTAAGAATGAGAACTTGATCATGCATTTTTATTATTTTCTTATTAACTTTAAAAATTATTGCAATGTGCACGTAATTTTAACAAAAAATTTCCATTTCTTTTAACTAATATATATATATATATATATTTTGTACCATACACTAAAAAATATTAAGACGTTTTTAAGTAGATGCCCTAAAAATAATCTTCTAGGTCACCGTTATTATTTTGGCGCTAAAACAATCAACATTCAGCTCGGCCTCGTCGTGCTCGTCAGACTCGTGCAATAGGTTTTTGTCTCACAATTTTCCTATTTTTCCTCCCGGTAATATCCTGCGCCTGCGTGCGCGCTACTCCCTGCATTTCCTTTGAAAGCCTCCATGGAATCTCATTTCCTCTACTCTATTGCTCATTACGAAGGGTTCCTGCATGCGATTTCTTATTTTTCTTGAGTGATAGGTAAAGCTGTGCCTGAGGTTTCTTTCCTTCTGCACGTTGACTGCAGATACATCGCCGAATACTGACTGCCCCTACATCACCGAACGTCTGCTGTGCACATCGCGGAAGTCGGCTTTGCCAATCACAAAAGGTAAATCTTCCTTTATTTTCATCTTCTCCGATGTCGATTCTGAAGGCCATTGGACCGCTAGTGGAAGTCCATTACAATATATCATTATTACTGTTTTAGTTGGGCAATATGATTCTCTTGTTTTATAGAGTGAATGGTAACAACTTGCGAGTTTTAATCACGCTTCTTCTCTTGGATTAGCAATATTGCTAATTGCAGGATTGGAAATTTCTTGGGGTTTTGGGCGTTATATATCGATCATTTTCACGTTTAGTCTAACATTCAACTTGATGGATGCTAATGCCGCATATTTTCACATTGGCAGTGGCCGGTATCCTGTTTCTTGATTTCCCAAAATTATACTAGTATTTAGAGGTTTGCAGAATTGCAGGCTAATTGGTTTGACGGATAATGTGGCCTTGTGGTGAATCTATAGGTAGTTCTTTTATCATCATTATCCTGTTTTCATGTTTCCACTCTGCTGTAGCAATAACAATGTTTCAAGTGTTCAATGAATTTGATTGTGGGTGTGAATATCTTTTACTTGCTGCTTTCTAATTGATCAGCTTATTTATGTGATTTGTAGATAGTTCCATAAAACTTTGAAGTTAAGCTTTCTGCTTTATGCTATATGTATGGACACTAATCTTTGTGAATAAGCTACAGCGCTTAACCACACTATTAGAAAGTACATGCACCTCCTATACTGCTCTCATGACAATCATAAATCAGCAACTTCCTCAGACAATCTCAACCATTAATAACACAAGAAATCTGTTATGTAGCACGGTCAGCATCTATATAAAGCTACTGTATACCTATCTGCAGGTTTCAATGTGTATTTATAAATATCATTTCCCTCTTTTCCTTTTACATTGTAATTTATTGCTGTTATTCTTGATGGTACCCGAGCTACGTCCCAACGACAATTCCTTCAGCGAAACAAACATATTCTCTATCCTAGCCTAACCATTTACCTCTTTGTGACTTCAACCAAAATAACCTGATGATATGGATCGCTCCACCAAATCTACAAGCAACAACTCTACCAAACTAAATGTCCTTTCCCAACTAAGTACCAATCTCATTTCCTCTCAACTCAAGATTTTAATTAGAGCGTCAATACCAACATGACAGCTCGATATAGGCTCGATCCGAAAAATTAGATTTGGATTGAATTGATTAAATTTCAATTCAATTTTAGATTTGAAATTTGTTGTGAATTTCTTGGAGGAAGAAGAAAGCTCTTCTTGGGCTTCTTGCAAGAGAGAGGGAAGGGAGGAGGAGAGGGAGAGAGGGATAATAGGAATTCAAATATCTTTTATTTAATTGTCCTTACAAGAGGATATCAATTACAGGGGGGCACCCATTGCAACATCCTAAACATAGGAATTTATGTTATGTGTGGAATATGATTATTTTGATCAATCAGGTTGTTATGTTGCGTTGGACCTCAATTTTCTCGTTCTCACTGGGGGGTGCACCCGAATTTTTTTTTTTTTACAACTCCCCGCCGCTATGTTCTCGAGCGCCTCAGCGCTGAACAACATATAGCAGAGCGCCGCAACGACATAGATACGATGCTGCAGCGGATCAAGACAGAGGTTCAAGCACTGCAGCGCTTCGCCGCAGAGCTACATGACGGATTGAACTATTTTATTTCTCGTTTTTCTGAAGGGTTGCGTCCCTTAGTGTTATTTTACTTGGCTTTCTATTGTATTTTATTTGGTTAGCATTGAGAATAGGGGCATGAAGCAAGGAGAGTGTTAGAGAGAAGAGAGATTTGTACTTATTTCTCCTAATTTTCATTGTAGATTTTTTGGTGCTGTGTGGCTATGTGAGTTTTTTCCTATTTTGGGGTTTTCCACGTTAAATCCATGTATCTTTTATTTTTTCGTTGCTTTTACTTTCTTACTTATTTCATTATTGTGGTGTTTACTCCTACTCATCCCCAACAACTAGTATCAGAGCAAGGTTCTTTAGTTCGAGTGGTAGTAATGGCGGACGAAGCAAGATACGAGATTGAAAAGTTCAATGGTTCGAACTTCACATTCTAGAGGATGTAAATTGAAGATTTGTTGTATTAGAAGAAATTGTATTTATGGTTGGAAGTAGGGGTATAATTGAGTCGAGTCGAGTTCGAGTCAAAGGATGTTTGAGTCGAGCTCGATTTTCAAATATCGAGCTCAAACTCGAGTTGAGCTCGAGCTTGACTCGCGACAGTGTAACGAGTTAATCGAGCCACTCGACGAGCTGCTCGATTTTTCAATTTTCATTTTTGCTTCTCGGTTTCCCACCCAGTTTTTGTTTTTCTACCAGGTTTTGATAGCTGTGGCTTTGGGAATGTGTTACGGAGCCGGCTCCTACTGGGCCGGCTGGACCGTAAGTGTTTATTATCCTTTCATGTTAATTAGGAGGAATAGGAGGGATGAGGGGATTATCTTGAATTTGAATCTTATTTGAGATCTAGGGTTTGTTCTTGGGCTCTTGGCGTTGCCGGAGATTGTGGAGAGTATTTCCTTCCTCTCGAATTGAAGGAAAATTGTATCTTGCAAGTGCTTTTCATCTATTAGTGGAATATAAGTGTTTGCTTTGATTTCCTACGGATTTCTCTTAAATTTCTCTCATAATTATCACTGTTTTGGGTTGTTTTCTGCTATGGACAACAGTTGTCTTTGTTTAGATACTTGATTTGGGTTAGGTTTACTTGTGCATACAAGTATTTCCTATAAGAATGATGCAAATATCCTCATATAATGAATGCTCCTGTTTTGGGATATAACTTTTTAATTATATATATATATATATATATATATTGAAAATTTTACTGCTTTAGTAATGATTAAAGCTGCAGCATTAATTTTACTAATTTTTGAAAATCTCACAGCACATAAATGCTGCTGCTTTGAGAAAATTTGACTTTTTTTTAGTGTTTAAACTTCTTTATTTGAACTCGCCTTAAACATTAATGATGCTGCTTTGGACTTTTTAGATTAATGTAATAAACAAATTAATAATTAAAAAAAAATCAAACAGTAATTCGAGTTGGCTCGCGAGCTCACGAGCCGAGTCTCATCGAGCTTGACTCTTGAGTTTGATAAGTTCGGCTCGCGAGCCAATAAACGAGCCGAGCTTAAGCCGACTCACCGGCTCGGCTCACTTATTTGGAAGGAATCACCAAGAAGTTGGATTCTATGACTATGGAGAAATGGGAGGTTCTTGACATGACGATACTAGGTTTGATATGACTTTCACTTTTCTCATATGTTTCATTCAACATTATAAATGAGAAGACTACAGTTGATCTCATGATAGCACTGACTAAGATGTATGAGAAGCCATCAGCCTCAAACAAGTGTTCTTGATGAAGAAGTTATTCAATATGAAGATGTTGGAAACACCCCAATGGCTAAACACTTGAATAATCTGACCACTATGATGAGTCAATTGTGTTCATTTGACATTAATTTTTTATGATGATATGAGGGCATTGTTGTTGTTATCTTCATTACCAAAAAGCTGGGATGCGCTTGTTACTAATGTGAGTAACTTTTTGGGAAGTTCAAAGCTGTTTGAGGACATTATGAGATTAGTGCTTAATGAAGAGGTTCGCAGGAGGGCGAACTATGAATCTTCAAATTTTCCTCTAAATGTTGAAGCAATATAGGAAGGGTTTTTAAGAGAGAAATCATAGCAGAGGGAGATCTAAATCCAAAAGATGAAAGTCTACTTCAAGTAGAGAAAAAGTTGTGTGCTGGAGCTGTAGAAAGAAGGGTCACTTGAAGAGGACTGTACCGTTCCAAAAGGGGTAGTGATGGAGGTTAAGGTAAAAATCATTATGAATGTCATCTCGTATCTTGGGTGATGAAAACATGTGCTTCTTTTAATGCAAATCATAACAAGGAGGCATTTAAGAACTATATTCAAGGTGATTTGGGTAAAGTGCATCTCTGGGATAACAAGCCCTGCAACATTATTGGATAGGCGATGTTGATATCAGAATGCCGGATGGGTCAATTTGGAGAATCAAGAATGTTAGGCACGTTCCTTGTCTGAAGAGGAGTTTAGTTTCTGTGAGTCAACTTGCAAACTCAAGCCATGTGACATCATTCACAGGAGATACGTGGAAAGTGACAAAAGGAGCTATAATTATAGCTCGTGGCATTATTGAAGACACCATATATGTTGTCAATAGAAGAGCAGATTTTATTAGAGTAGCAGATTTAGATGTTGATGGAGGTCTTTGGCATCAAAGATTTGGTCATATGAGAAAGAAAAGTATGCATTCACTTATTACTAGAGGAAAACTGCATAGTTTAAAATCTATAAATTTAGACTTTTGTGAAGACTGTATATGGCAAGCAGCATAGGACGAGTTTTCCAAATACTGGTTCAAAGGTCAAGTCAAAGAAGTTGGAGTTAGTGCCTATTGATGTATGAGGTCATGCTCCAGTTACTATAAGAGGATTTTTGTATTTTGTCATATTTATTGATGATCATAGTAGAAAGGTATGGATGTACTTCTTAAAATATCAGTCAGATGTGTTTGATGTTTTTAAGAAGTGGAAGGCTATGGTTAAGCTTGAGACAGGTTTGAAGCTCAAGTATCTCAGATTGGATAATGGTAGCAATTATTGAGACAGCCGTCCACGCTTCTTGGCCCAACTTCATGCTTCTGCTAGTGCCCAACACCCAAGCTCTGGACTCCTGCATGGCATCCACCATCCGAGTCTGCTCTGCCTTCCACCTGCTCCAGCCTGCGGACAACCCGCTCTCCGTTCCAAGAGGACAGCCGGTAAAAAACCAGCTCTCCACTCCAAGCAGACAACCCACACCCAACGCAGAAGCCGCCGCCCCGCATGGCCCTTACCATCATGTTCCATTCGTTCTTGCGCAACCTAGCACGCCCCATGCACCTGCATGCTCATCTTTTCCCCAAGACATGCACCCAGCGCAACTCTACTCCGGCACTATCAACCCTCCTATGTGCCAGTGACCAACCTGCATGCAGTCCGTACCGTGCCATCCTCTCAGCCCTTCGGTAGCGTCTTCATGTCCGCTCCATCTTAGGCGAACAAAACTGCACCTTGTGTCCAAACTTTACCTCCCTCACAAGCTCGCGGAACCAACTCTTGCATACACCTTAGCTGGATGTTCGCCTTCCGCACGCGCTCGTTGTCGCGAACCCGCCGCCCTTCTGACTATCGCAATGTCGCCCCGACCTGCGTGTAACTGATAACTCGAACAACTCCTCTTCCTCCTTGAGATTGCCTCCACCAGGCTCTGATACAACTTGTGAATTTCTTGGAGCATGAAGAAAGCTCTTAGGGAGGAGGAGAGGGAGAGGGGGATAACAAGAATTCAAAATTCCTTTATTCAATTGGCCTTACAAGAGGGGGTTAATTACAAGAGGAATTACAACATCCTAAACATCCTATAGGAATTTACATAGATGTGATGTCTCCTGGAGCAATATAACTAAAACTGGGCCAATCAATCCTGACAAAATCTTCACCCAATTAAGGCTTTGTTTGGTGCACCATTTCAACTTCTTTTATGATAAGAAAAGCTTTTAATTAGTAAAAAATAATGTGCTCGGAACACACTTTTTTCAAACTTTTACCTTTAAAAAGCTATTATTGGTAAAACGTTTTTGAAATTGTGTATGAAAAAAAGGAGTTTTTAAAAGATAATTTTTACAAAGTAATTTTTATTGCTAATTTGATTCAGGTTGTTCATGAATAAGATTGACATGCAACATTAAGTGCATGTTTTTGGAGTTCATATACATTTGTACATGATTACCAATATGAGAAATTAATTTTTTAAACATAGAATTTATTTTTTAGTTTTTTTTTTTCATATTATTTGATTTTTCACTTCTTCTGTTGCTTTTATATTTTTATAATACGAAAAAACAATACTTAGTCATAGTCATTAGCTTCTGTTGGGTTGCATGGTAGGGGAAGGTAATACTCAATTCTCTATATTTACTTGATGATATTTTTCTAAATGAATCACTCACTTTATTAACAAAAAAATCATTTTGTTGTTTTTTCTATAGAATTTTTTCATACTTCATTTAGCAACTGCATGATATCAATTGCAATTTCAGATCTTATAAGTACCCATATGTTCAAGTGTGGGCTTTATTTCCACTGTATATTCAAGTTTTGGCTTATTTTCAAATAGAAGTTCTAGTTTATGCATTGGAAGAGATTTAAATGTTACTTTAGGTGCAAACTCAAACTTAAAGTCAAAGAAATAATTATTTTATATATTGTTGACCTTCTTAAGAATCTTAATCTTCTTCACATGTAATAGGTTGCTTGAAATTCTTCAATTGGATTATTTTCCAGTGAGAGAAAATATGAACTAGCATTAGTGCTAGTTTAGGCTATCTAGCAGGAAATTCCTTAACTACCATTGGGCATGTAACAATTGCTAACAAAAGAATGCCTAATAAAGATGTAATATTCCTTAGAGGAGTGTTCTTCAAATATCTTCCAATCGTCATGGCTAACTTGTAAGCTAATTTGCCTTTAAAAAGTTTTGACAGATCAGAGGAAAAAATATAAGCCATTTCAAATGAACTTTTATATCATTAGCCTACAGGCCTGCTTTTTGGAGCCTCTACATACAATTATCAGTTATCATTCATGATCTTCGTGGATCTAATCGTTATTAAGGCTTTGTTTGGGACGGATTTTTTTATGCTTTTTAAAGCAGCTTTCTAGTATAAAAATTTAAATTTTTGTACTAAAAAATTGCTTTACGAAGCCGTGAGAAAGCTGTCCCAAACCAAGCGTGAAGCTCATTGTATTTAAAACTTCAATTGTAATATAACGGGACTTTTGTACAGTTTTTTCATGTCAGTTCATGCATCTGGTGTCACGATATGCTTTTCTAGGCGGCCTGGATGAATCAAGTTGATGCTCCATGTGGGTCAATTGTACGATTAAAAATGTTTCAGAATATGCTATCTTCTTTTATCAACTTTGAGACTTACTTTTCTAACACTTCTTTACTTTTCCTCCTTTTTTAATTCTTATTCTTTTATTTTATCATTATTAGTTGAAAGAGCTATTCATTTTTGTCCGATATACTACAATCTGATGTCTTATATGTACATAAATTTCTATTGCCTGAGTATTTTGTGATCTGAAATTGTTTGTTATTAAATTTTATTTGAAAGCTTAAAATTTTTCAGTTTTCTGCATGATTTTATATATATATATTTCATCTTTTCACCTGCCCTGTTTTGTGAAGAAATGTTAAATGAAACCAAGGAACCAGTTAAATGAAATCAATGAAGAACACTTCTTCTGTTTCGGAGTAGACATACTGTTTAGCTATTTTGTTTACTTGTATGTCCTATTTATGATCATTTTATGCTCATTTAGTCCACTGTGATAGGAGGTTATGCATTTGTTGAGCAAATAAATGCATTAAGTCTAAATTGAAGTTTCATTGATTACATTTCGCAACTGAAGAGTATGATTCGATAAATTTTCTTTGCAGGCTTTGAAAAACTAAAGTGGCTCAATGAATAATGCTTTTTTGTGTTTGGCTTTTTGTACGCTCATTTCACATTCTTATTGAGTACCGTTTGATCTACAATATCTATTTTGCACAAATCTAATTTTTTACTCTTATTATTTATTATTGTAGCAATAAATCCAATCCCTTGAAGTTTCCGTTCGACCCGACATTGCCTGATTTATGATGTGGGTCTCGACGCCTTATCAAATATCAATACAAGAGCTCAAGACACTTAACTCGCACACATCAGAAAAGTTTGCGGCAGATGCACTCAATCCAGCAGCGTCAAAATAGTGAAAACACCCTCATTAGCAAGCACACACTCCCGAATCTCCATGGACTATTAGGGGTGCAAATGGACGGAGCCGAGCGGAGTATGTGAGTGTTCATGTTTGTGTTCATTTATTATCAGCTTGTTCGTGTTTGATTCGAGCTTTATTATTTGTGTTCATGTTTGATTCATTTAAATTAATGAGTGTTTATGTTTAGTTCGTTTATTGCTTACCGAGCTTTAAACAAACAAGCCTTAACGAGCTTTAAACGAGCTCTGGTTCTAAATGTCCACTAACTTAACAAACGAGCTTTATTGAGCCTCCTAACAACAATTACATCGAGCATGTTCGTGAATATATTTAGCGAATTTTTTTATACTATCAAACAAGTGCCTTCATGAACATATTTAATGAGTACTTTTGAGCTATCAAATAAGCAAGTTCATGAACATATATAACTAGTTTTTTCAAGCTACCAAATGAACTAGTTTATATTATGTATATTTATCACTTTTATAATCAAATATTAATTGAGTTTTTATTGAGCTTATTCACGAGTTCTGAATCGAACATGAATCGAGCTTTTATTGAGCTTGTTCACGAGCTTCAAATGATCTTGTTCATGAACATAAATGAGCCGAACACATTAGTGTTCAAACTTGTTTATTTAATAATCAAGTATTTAAAATATTGTTCAAATTTGTTTGTTTAATTAATTGAACTATCGCTTGCAGCCCTATGGACTATATTTCGCTGCTCCTCAAGTGACCATTGGCCCAAATGGTGCAGGGGTGCACGGCAATGTTCAGTTGAACGATGCAGCTGGCCCATGGTTCAATTCCACGTAAAAGAAAATTTAATTTTGAGGAAACATAAAAGTGCCCTTATCTCTATTGCAAATTCTACCAAGTGATAGAATTATAAGATTTCTTAATTGATTATGTATCCTAACAAATGCCTAATAGGGTATTTTAAGGTGCTTTAATGGCTGAGTAATTTTTGTAGTGATAGTCATCTTGCTTCAAAGCCTGGAGCGGTGACACAATATATTGCACACAATTTGAGGCGTAAATGAGTCTGAGTCTAATATCTTCCTAAACAAATTGAGCTCGTTTTATTCTTGGTTAGCACAATTTCGAGCTTGTGCTTGACTCAAGCATATCTACCAAGATGGTTAAAATATTTTGGGACTGAAGCTCAGGTCAATTGCCCGGAAAGTTCAAGTTTGACTCTATTGTTGAATTTGATTTTTTAATTCTAAATTAAAATTTAATATTTTTTTAAATTTAATACTTATAATATACAAATTAAATAAACTCGACACTCCAATTAAATAATTTATATTACTTTGGGAGCTGCACTAGGAAAGTAATAAATAGTAATAATATTAATTTACTTTTTTATTAAATAAATTTTAACACAAATTAATATTATTTGGTACGCAAGAAGCCATTTTGACTATAGTGCAGTTTTTTTGTTATTTTATTTTCTTGTATATTTTATTTGGTCCACTCATGCATACATGTATTTGGGGAAATTAAGAGGGTCAAAGAATTGAAAGCTTTAGTCAAACCCGTGTGCTAGAACCCTATTCAAGATCAGCTAGATAAGAAATGAGCTTTTTGATCTCCTGTTCGAGCTCTATTAGCATACTTAAATACTCATATTAGCACTTCATTAACAAATGTACTAATAGCTTCTGTACACGTGTCCTGCTACTTTACTAGGTTCTATTTATAGGTCCAAATTGTACACAGCATTAACCAAGATAATCAAATCATTTTCTTCTCCAACCACGATCTGGTTTCTCCGTTCCTTTATGGTGGTATCAGAAGCGGTCACCTCCTGAGACCTCTCTCAATGGCTTCCCCCCCCCCCCCCCCCCCCTCCGTCGCCGCATCTTCTCGCACAAAGGCAGCGATCAGCGATACCTCTGATAAGCCATTTCTTTATCCCTCTCTAAAATTCATTATCTCAAATCTCTTGTTCCCCCATCAATTGTCCATGGACAATTATCCAGCGGAACCAGATTCTCAAACTCTTTAAAGCTCATTTATTATTGCTCGAGCTCAATTCGCGTTCATGTTCGAGCTTGATTATATTGAACCTCTTAAAGAGGGTTGCCTTTTTAACCAGTCGTTTGAGCCAACTCGTTAACAACCTGGTTGTTCGGCTCGTATATGCCCAAAATCGCATATCATGAAGAGCAAGCGAATCCACTTCGTAGTCCGTCTTCCCGCTTTCGGTGGTTGGACCAATATTCCATTTTTTTTTCATTTTATAAAGCAAAATAATGTTATTCTGCATGGTGCGGGACTAATGCGTGAGTGGAGAACGAAGAGAGGAAGAGCGGAAAAAAGGATTATTTTAATCAGAATCCCTCAAATTAGTTGAGAAAAAACAATTTTTTAGAAAATGAAAAAAAAAAAAAAAATAAGGCCGTAATC